GAACTGCCATTGGGTGTGGCCTGGTGGTGCCATTGGGTGTGGCAGTTCCACCATCTGGAGGCACCACGTCGGGCAGGCTGGACGGACCAGCTTTCGTCCCTCCCAGGATGTTGGTGTCTGCCTGGTGCTGTGCTGTGTGGAGCCCCACGGGCACATTGTGGTTGGCCGGTAGCCACGGGTGGGCACATTGTGTCTCTCTGCTGCACGTGCAGGAAAAGGAGGGGGCAGCTTGCGAGCCTGAAGCTCGAGGCTGTTTGCGCTCCTAATGACGAGCAATGATTTACCATTATGTCTGAGTGCAAACAGAGAGGGAGAGAGAGGCTCTGTTTATCTGTTTGGGAGGCACTTCTCGGTGCGAGGACCAGCAAGGCTGAAGGGCAAACAGCCCACCCTCGCGACAGGCCAAACAAGCAGGGTGGCAGCAATTCAGCCCTGCCCCTTTCCACGTGCGTCGCAGGCGGTGAGAACTCCCATCTCGACTTATTTGACTGCCCCTGTAGAGCCGAAATCCCGCGTGCCCTTCCCTGGGGAGGAAGCCTGCTCTCTTCAGGGTTACTTCAGGGTAGACAGGCTCCTGCCATGGCGGAGAGGGCAAGGTTGCTGAAGCCAAGGCCGAGGCCGGGAGGAAGATGCAAAGCCACGGAGAATACGAGGAGACGTTGCGTGCAGAGGGTTCGCTGAAATCTTTCTTGCATTTTTGAATGGATTTTTAAAAAAAAATTTTTTTTTTTTAATGTAGAGCAAGATGTGACAGTTTTTGGCTCCGTGGCTCAGCAAGAGGCCCGTTGCGGGCAGGGGGCGTGAAAGACGGAGACCCAGGGATGCTCCCCTTCCCCCTGCCTGCCTGCCTGCCTGCCTGGAGAGCTCCCTTGCAAAGTGATGTCTTCTCTGCATCTTAATGAGGAGCTACAAACACAGACATTTTGTTTAAGGGATGCAGCCAGGCATACCAGCTCTGAAACACAGCGAAGCAAATGTCAAATCGATATATGTGGCATTTGGCCGACATTTTAACAATACCTGCTCCCCCTCCCCACCGTCCTCCCGGGGCTTCATTAGGAGGAATCGTTGTTGCCGGAGCCCAGGGACATCGCTAGACCTGCGGCACGCTTTGCTCCTGGACGGAGGCCCGGGGGGCGGGGGGCTTCCCGGGGCACCCCCAGCTGAGGACAGCGTTGCAGGTGTAAAACAAGGGAAACGCTCCCAGGAGGCGGTCCGTGGAAGGGAGCCTCTCGGTGAGACGGCGGCGTGCGTGTGCTGTCAGAGGCCAGGAACCCGTTAGCGGGGCCAAGCGTGCCCTGCGCCAGAGGCCGTTCCCCCATTTCTCTGGGGAAGAAATTCTTCCGCAGCGCAGACCCGCAGCTCTCTCGCTTTGCAGCGTCTCGTAGCTCGGCTTTCCCCAGGCTGGTGCTCTCCGGGCAGTGGCTCAGCGAGTCTCCTTGGTTGTTCCTGACTCCTGGTTTGCCAAAGGTCTGAGGCTTCAGCCCCCGGAGGCTCCGGGTTTCCAGCCGTTTGCAGAGAAATTGAAATTTTAGGGCTCCTGGCAGGTCTTAGCTGGCTCCCTCTGAAGTCTTGGCACGATTCCTCCGCAGGGTTGCTCCTTGTAAAGGGCTCCTTTTCCTGTTCCAGCGTTTCAGAATGAAAGCTAAGGATACCTGGACTGAAAGCTGTTGAAGGTGTTCCTGGATTCTCAGTTTTCCCAGTGGGAGGTTGAAGGGAGACGGGCAAGACGTTCTTCCTGTCTCCAAATATTTCTGTCTGTCTTGCATTTCGGAACTCAAGTCCGGTCCCGCTTGGCCAAGTCTGTGGCCTTGCTGCCACGTAGCCCACGCTCCACTGCACCGCAGTCAATGTGTGATCCTGAATCTCTTTTAAGATTTATGATGAATGCCAAATCCATGGTGATCTGTCTTGGTCAGCGCCCTTCCATCTTACGCCAGTATTTTTTTTCGCTCCCCACAAATCTTCTACAACATGAGCACAGGCAGGAATGTTTGGAACCCAAAATATTCCAAAAACCTAAGGGTGATTTTTTTTGACACCTGATTTCTGTTTGGAAAATACAAAACTTAAAAAAGGGGGGGGGGATATTGTGTGGTGAGCCAATCTTGTTTGCAAAAAGTGGAGTGTGCATCTCTCTCCGACCCGCTTGGTGTGCCCCGAGCAGCTGCGGTCGGCCAGCAAGCGATCGGCCGGAAGGAAGAGATTTGGTGCCCGATCCTCCTGCTGCAGTCGCTCCCTGTCACAGACCATGCCCCATCCCAGGAGCCCCACAGAGAGAGAGATCTCCCCACCGCTGGCTCTTTGCTTTCCCTCCCCACGGGTCTGCACTTCCCTCTTCCCACCAGTGGATCTCTGGCACCTTTGGTGTAATTAGGGAAAGGAGGGGGCTGTTTTTGGCCGTTTATCACCAAGCACTGCCATTTAATTACCGTAATTAATATACAATCACCGGATTAATGAGAGACAGTAGCAGAGGCTCATTTATCAAGATAAGCTATGCGGCGGCTGCTCCCACAAATTACGGCCTGGCTGGAGCCCAGCAGCAGGTGGGCGAGGGGCTTCGGGAGCTGCCTGGCGGGGCCCAGGTGAAGGTGGGGCAGGGCAGAAGAGGGCAGGGCCTCTGGGCACAGGCAGAACGTCTGCGAATGGGCCACCCCTAAACACCTTTATTATTTAGCGGTATCAAAGCCTGGTGTTTGCAAAAATGTGTTTGCGTCAACCGGATGGCAACCTTTGTGCGTTAGTTCTTCCAGTGGCAGAATTGCCTCAAATTTCTGCCCCTTTCCATTTTCTTCTAGAACCCCAGGGCAGCCAACAGAGCTTTGCACCACAAGAGGGCCACCAACTCCAATTATTAGCCACCAGTATTAGCCAGCCAGGTTGCCCAGAGGTACGGGTAGTCCTTAATTTACAACCATACATTTAACAACCATTCAGAGTTACGACGGTGCTGAAAAAAGCGACTTATGACCGGTCCTCACATTTATGACTGTTGCAGCGTCCCTGTGGTCATGTGATCAAAATTTGGGCGCTTGGCAACCAGCATGTATTTATGATGGTTGCAGCATCCCGAGAGCACGTGATCGCCATTGGCAACCTTCCCAGGGGGCTTCCAACGAGCAAAGTCTATGGGGGAAGCCAGATTCGCTTAACTACAGTGGTGATTCACTTAATAACCATGGCAAAAAAGGTTATAAAATCGGGCATGATTCACTTAATGACCACATCGCTTGGTGATGGAAATTCTAGTCCCAACTGTGGTTGTAAGTTGAGGACTACCTGTAGACAAGCCTTCTGCTCCAATTCTGAAGTTGAGTGTTCAGGAAGGGCTGCTCCTGTTCAAACTGCTTAGCCGGAGTGGAATGGCTTCTGCGCTTAAAGCCATGGGAGGGGCCCTGGGGATCACCTAGTCCTCCCGCCCCCCCCAGCATCCCTGACAGGTGACCATCTAGTCCCAGCATAAAGACCTCCAGGGATGGCCTCCTGAGGCAGCCAGTTCCGCTGGTGGACAGTTCTTCCTGACGCCCATCCCGAATTCTCCTTCCTTGGAACTGAAATCTGTTCTCGCCTCCCCTCCTCGAACAGCTCTGGTTACTCTCCCATCAGGGTTTTTCAGACTAGGTTCCATGAGGACTTGAACGGGTTTTGTGGGCTTAAGGGGGAAAAGTCGTCTCTGCAAGGGACTACGCGGCTGGGGGGTGGGATCCCTCTTAGTCCTCCACAGAGATGATTTTTCTCTCTCGTGTTTTGCAGGGATCTCTAGAAGGGACTCAAGGAAAACTCCCTCCGAGAAACTAAAGGGAAAAATCTCTTGGTCCCTTGCAAATAGTTTTTTTTCTTCCCCTTACTCCCGAAGGCACACCAAGCTGCAGCAGAAAGAGTGGGGCTTGTCGTTTCATACATTTTATGAATTCAATCTGGGTAGCCGCCCATCTCACACACACACGACTCCGGCCCGTCACAACAGTGAAAAACAGCAAAAAACAATTTTAAGGAAATTGCAAAGGAAAAGCAAGTAAACACAAAACCATGTTGGGTTTTGGATCGATTATGTGCCACCGAGTCACTTTCGACTCCTGGCGACCACCACAGATAGATAAAACCATGTTAAAAACCATTAAATCCACAAAATCAGCCACCGGGGTACAAAACGTTCACAGCATTCAATATAACCGGTGAACAGGCTGGATCCCCAAGCCCAGTGACAATTTTTTTTTTAGCAAACAGGGTCCCACACTTGAAAAAGTTTGAAAGCCCCTATTTTACGTGGCAGTCCTTAACACACTGGAGACAGCTCTCACATCTTCCTATGGCAGTGTCTCTCAGCCTCGGCGACTTGAAGACGTGTGGACTTCAACTCCCAGAATTCCCCAGCCAGCAGGGCTGGCTGGGGAA